CTTTCCGTTTATCCACCGCAGAATCTGAAATGGGATATGCGCGCCAAATAAACCTATAAAAAAATCCAACCTGCCAGTCTAGGTGAGAAGCAACGCCGCCGCGAAGAACGCGACGAGTGCCCCGGTGCCCGTGCCAGCGGCGCCACGCGCACGTTTTGCCTGGCTGGAAGCAGTATCTGCCTCAGCGACGGTAGCGTTCGTGCGCCCGACGGCGGTGATGCCATTCATGACGTCCGCCGTCGTGATAGCAGGCCCCTCGCTCCAGAAGTCGACCAGCACAAACGTCGGCTTGTAGCCCCACTCGGCCAGGCAGGTCTTCGCATGCAGTCCCAGCGCCCCCGTCGTCGTCGTGGAGGCGCTGTTCGTCGTGGCGACGTCGTCGACGTCGGGGATCTCGATGGAGGAGCCCAGGTCGTCGTAGACGAAGTGGTTCATGAGCGGCAGAAGGCCGGCGGCGAGAGCCGCGGAGGCCGAGGACTGCGTGGTCGGCCGGTCGAGCGTGCAGTTGAAGCCCGACAGCGACGTGATGTCGTACGCCGTCTCGAAGACGTAGTCGAACTCGGAGAGCAGGTACGGGTAGGCGCTGCTGGCGGTGACGGAGGCGATGAAGGTCACGAGGCGCGTCTTGGCCGTGATCATGGTCTGCAGCGTCGGCCAGGTGGTCCCCGAGGGCGTGTAGCCGTACTCGGAGATGCCCGAGGCCTCGAACACGGCGCCGAACTGCGCGGCCGTCTTGCTGTCCGAGTTGACGATCAGGAGCGTCACCACCTCGTTGGGGTTGTTGTCCATCCAGTACTTGATGTCCGCGAGCCAGTCCTCCAGGGGGCCGGCGTCCAGCAGGCTGCAGAGTGTGTGGCACATCTCGATGGTGCCGTTGAGATCGTGGACCTGCAGCTGCAGCAGCCGTATGCCGGCGTCCAACGCGACCGTTGCGTTGTAGTACTGGGTGCCGGCCACCGAATTGCCGGTGCTGGCGTCTCGGAGGAAGGACGAATCATGGGCGCCCATGTGGGTGATGTTGCTGTACGAGCGGTTGCATAGCGAGGGTGAGTTGTTACAAGCTACTGTCGACGCCGACGTCGTTGTCGATGTTGACGTCGATGCTGATGCTGATGCTGCTGCTGCTGCTGTTGTCGTAGTAGCAGCCGTCGCTGATGTCACAGAAGAGAAGAAATTATTCCATTGCTGTGGTGACGAATGTGCTACACCCGCAAGGGTCGCGAGAGTTGCTAGGTACGTGCATAGTGATGATGGGATCATCTCGCTGAGGCAATCCGAAAACAGGGGTTATTTAGTACACTTCTTCACCTGTGTATATTTCTGTACTTTTCATACAAGGGGAACGAGAGGAAAGAGATCAAAGAAAGAAACGAGAGATGTTAAAGTAAGGAAACGGCTCTATATTCTCCAGCAGCGAGTGGTGCCATACTGTCCTTTAACTATAATTCAAATTGACAGGTCGGAGCGGTACGCTACGGATACCTACCTACTATGTACGTAATGCTCGGTGCGCTTCCACTGTGGTGTTGATGTGCGAAATGCCGGACCCCCGGCGAATGGTGATCTACAGGGTCATGGTGGCTAGCCGTGCTGCAGGGCTAGGCTCCCGATAGGCTAGATCAGCACCTAGAGGCAGTTAGACGGCGCCCCTTACAGCGCTGTACGGTCTGCAACGGCGCTGTACCTGGCCGGCGGCTGCGTATGCTGTGGAGTCTGTCTGGACTCTGAAGCTTGTGGCTGCGCCTCTCCACGTCAACCTTGGCAAAGGCGAAACCATGCAAACGCGCGTTCCGTTGCTTGAGAGTTTCAACGCAATTCTGCCGGGAGAGCTACAGAACTACATAGGTAGACGCAGGTCTTCATACATAAAGAAGGTTTTCATCCGAATAGACCATCGCGAACTCTATCCACACTCTTTGCTATGTACAGTAGATGTTCTCTATGACATAACTAGAGACGTGCGATAATGTCAAGCAAGCCATGTTTGGCACCTCTCTGGATAGACAATGACGAGCCGAAATCAAGTTTGTTTGATATTCCGTAAAGTCATGCCTTACCCAAAAGTAAATACGAAAGCCCCATTAAAAGAGACAGTGCAACGTGCGGTTGCGATGCTAATTATTTGGTATATACACTGTATGGGTCTTTCCAACCTCCTGAGACAACGACAGTCGGTATTCTGTATTCGGTATGGATTACTTAGCCACACACAGCCCCTTAGCTGCTTGACTGTGATTGCTCATAGTAATCTGATAACGACAATCTATTGGCCCGTCTTAAGAGGACCTACCTATTTTTGGTGATTGGAAGGTGAACACGAGAACAACTAACCGCTAGTACATAGGCATCGTGTAAACTCGGAAGATAGGTAATAGCCCAATGAGAGAGGAGGTTGAGGAAGTCGTCACACAAACAAGCCGCGAACCAGACGATTCGTTTCAGAAAGATTATGCTTTATCTAGAGGAATAAACTGCCTATGTCCTGTTTTGCCCTAATACACAGTTACCGTGGTACAAGCATCTGGACTTTCTAAGCACTTTGGATAACTTAAAGATAAAACCATCTTTCGCGGGGTATCCATTACTAGCTATGTTAGTATCTCCTCTCACCAACCTTGTAATGACCAAGGCAGGAGTAGGTATACTACGTTGAAGGGGTAATATTTTGCTCAGGATCGTCCGAATACGCCTCCATGGCAGCCCGTTCTTCCAGTTCCTTAATCTTCTGTTTGCCTTCCTCCGTCGTAGCGTCTATTATCTGCTCTTGCAAGCTAAGAATACCAGCCTACAACACAGTCAGTAAATAGGCATGCTGACTGATCATGTCATAGCATATATATATATATATGTCTTCTTACCTCGCTCAAGAGGCCAACAAGATCCTCGGCCTCGGGCACTTTCATCTTGCCAAGGACCTCGTTGACCTTGTCTAGGCTACCAGACTCTAGCGCCTTTTGCATGTCCGGTGTAAAGCCCTTGAATATTTCGCGTCCGTGCTTCTCAGCTTCATCTTCGCTACCCTCCAGTGGGATTCGGATCTTGATCTCGGTGCCTGGCTCGACAGCATGTAGTTGGATCTGCTCTGTCTCGCCAGACTCGCCTTCTTCAGCCTGCCGCGCACTGATCTCCGCTGTTCGGCTTTTGATGCGGAGGTAAGTGTCTTGCACATCTTTATAGAATACATCTTGGGCTTGGTGGCCCTTGGTGTTGATGCGCTTGAAGAAGAGCGCAACGCCATCCCTGCCTAGCGCGCGGCAGTACTGAAGGAGAAGGGCTTGGTGTACGTAGTTTTTTGCAACATCATCTTGATTCTTTATCTGCGCATCAAACGCCATGACGAGGATGCCATCTGTTTCTTTCTCGGATAGAATACTTGGGTGCGACGTGAGGAAGGCATGGCTTTCTCGATACTCCTTAGCCTTGATATTCGCGAACTTGCGACCATCAGCAGAAGCCTCAATCTCGGCATCATTGCCTTCGTCAGCAGTCGATGTCGCCTTCGCTTCGTCTAGATTGCTTGTGGAGTAGTTGGGGTTCAAAAGTTCGACTTTCCCATCGTTCTTCTCCCCTGACGTGGACGGTGTGGACTTTGCAACGTATGAGCTATCGAACCCTGTATGGATGCTCTCGCTTGTGATTCTGCGACCTTCCTCCTTCTCCAACTCTGCCAGCTTTTCCAACAGCTGTTTCTGTAGATCCTGCACCTTGTTCAGGTGGTTCCCCAGTTCCTCAACCATGCCGGTGTACCGGTTCTCGACCTTTCTTTCGTTGAGCGTAGTGTTTATCTGGTCTAGCATGACCATCATCATCTTGCTATACGTAGGGGGTTGCTCTAAATGATCTTGGAGGCCCTCGGGTCGCACAGGTGGCTTATCGTCTTCGGGGTCACCAGCAGTCTCGATGACGGCTCTGAAAGCCATCTCGGCGAGGCCAGCATCAGTCTCGGCAGTATTAGCTTGGAGAGAAGCCAGAAGGCTGGATATTCGCTTTATCAATCCATCGTTTATCTGGCGCTCGTACTTATAGACCTCGATCTGATGTCGGCGCTGTTGGCGCTCCGCGTGAATCTGGTTCTGCTTGGCACGGATGAAGGACCGTTTATCGACGTTTGGGTGGACCTCGATATCAGAGTCATCGCTGAGCTCCAGGTTGTCCTGGAAGAGAGATTTGGTAGTTAGCCCTCGGTGCCAGCTCTTATAAATATCGACGGAGAAGTAGATAGCTGGTGTCGACAGCCTCAAGTAAACACTCACCCACTTGCTGTAGTCTACAGGCATCTTGGTTTATATTAGCCGGTCGTAACAAATACGCTGGTCTGAGGAAACCATCAATTGAAGCAGGGTTTGTAGGCCTGTGAGTCCCTTAGAGGCTACCTAACCTCTATAAGGACGTAAGCGGTATGACTTGTTCTGGTATATTCTATCTAGAGGGATAGCGGCTGCGGGGTGTTTAGCAAAAGGTACCCTATGTAGGGAGGTGCTATGTAGGCGCTACAGTAAGTACTCCACCCCACCTTAGGTACCTAGGTTATTGATCCGCCAACCCCACTACATATGCGTACCGACGCTTTTAATAGCAGTTTGTTATCGATACTAGTGAAGATGTGTGTTAGGTACCCACTTGTACTGTACCTACCTAAGGTATCTGTGTTAGTTGAGGTCACCGGGATCTCACATCTCCCTGGTCAGCCGCTACAACCTCACTGCTTTATCTACATTGTAATAAATAAATGTAATCTTGTCGGATTTACTTACGTAGGCAGTCTACTTGTAGTGAAAAGGCTATAACCCTATTTTATCTTGTTATCTTGCTATTCTTCTAACACCATATCTTCGACACGGAGGAACGCCCTGTAAACTTCTCCACACTACCTCCCTCGAGGGAATGAATGCAAGTACCGGTGGGTATTGCGTAACAACAATCACCCTCCTCGCGTAGTTAGTCCAAATCACTGACTCAAGCAAACACAAGAGAGTATTGTGAAGAAATCTTCACCATTCGCCCGGTTAGCTCAATCGGTAGAGCGTGAGACTCTTAATCTCAAGGTTGCGGGTAGGTCTCTCCACATGACGAAATATTCATATTCAAAATGCTAACATTACCAACCAGGTTCGACCCCCGCATTGGGCTCAATTCCTAATGCCTTCTAGATAACTAGAAGTGGTAACCATTCTTTTTCTTTTCTTTTCTTTTCTGCTTGTCCTTTTTATGTTCTTTATTTGCTTGGGCTTTTTTTTTGTCTACTAAGATCTTTTTTTCTCCACTCAACGTTTATAATCAAACTACAATCACGCAAGACTTAATGATATATATGTAATTTTTATATAGTTGATATATTCTACTGTAATACAGCACACATAAGCTTAAAGAGGGATATCTTGATTTATTTTATATTATATAAAAATCTTGGACGTTAAAACCAATCTTTTTCAGTTCGCGCAAGTATAAAATTAAAAAGCGTTATAAGTTTGTACATATAAATAACTACGAACCCTATAGGCTCACACCTTTGGCAATGTTCTATGGCACAATTTGTATTTCTTTATTCATGGCCTATAATATCGTAATCGTATTTATATTATCCCTTTTTGCATTTAGCCTGTTGGCTTTAATTAATTACAACAGAATCACGGGCTGGCTGAACTACATATTTTGTTATAAATAGTGTTTCTCGATCATACCAGCGATTACTATAGTTTTCCAAATACCTAGGTCCTAGGTGCACATTGAAGAGTAGCTTTGCTGTGCTTTACTTACTGTTAGGGTCCTATATATAAGCACTGGAAACAGTTGATGTTTCCACCTTGGCAAGGTTCTAGCTCTGTTCTGTGGCACTTACACTTAGGAATTATTCACTTTTGTCACTAGTTATCTTCAGTGACATGCTATATATAGTTATTAAGACATTAAATGCCTCGACGCTTTAGGGTGGCTATATTGGTGGCTTTGTCTAAAGATATAGGCGGCATTGCCTCTTTTAGGACCTCGAAGGTTCAGGACTTAAGTAATCGATCTATCAAGCTCTGTACTACCGTCCTACCTAGCTGTAACAGTCACATCATTCACAGCCTAACTAAACCTCATTACAACGCTCATCTTCTAAGGTATAGAGGAGGTTAGTATTGCAGCTTATTAAGAATGCAGTTGTTATCTAATTCGCTATCTTGTCGCTAATTTTAGGCCATATAAAATGCCTTGTTATTATATTTCATATTTTATCCAATTACAACACAAGTCAAGGAAGCTCCTTTCACAGCATTAAATACAAGGTGTTGCAGAACAGAACTGCAAAGCTAAACTACAATACTACTAAATTAGAACGTTGTTAAGGTTCCTAGGAAACCTTAGCCGTCTAGAGCTCTTATATAGGAAACCGTGACACAGAGAGAGTGAGAAAAAATAAGAAAAAATAGGGTAACAAACGTACAACACCAAGGATTCGCTGGTCGTCACCGACCCAACTACTAATTCGGCCCTCACTGACTTATCTATGGGAGAGCGGACGGGATCCCGAGTTCTCCAGTGGGTATGGTCGTACGTGGCAGAATAAAGTGTTGTTTAGGTCCATATACTCCCGTATATGCTGGTCCCAGTACGATTTTTTTATGATGCTTGAGTTAAAGTGTTGGATACACAGCCATATTGAAACTTCACTTCAATTTTCTAGGCTCCACACCACAAGTTCATATCTCGCTTGTGCTTCTATTGTGATATATATAGGTATATATTTTACCCACTCCAATGAGACTTAAGCTTTCACATGGAAATTAAGGACTCACCTTACCCACTGCTGTGATCCGTCCCGTGCATATTAAGTCTGGCACAATCTTATTGACCATCCTCGTACTAGGCAGTGGCTTGTCAAGAACAATTATGGAGTGAATGGAATCGCTTAAATAAGTAGGATGAACAAATGCAACTTTCACATCTTTAGGCTGCAATATTGCAGTACTGCGCCTCTGAAGATATCTGGCGCATTTGTAAGCCGTATACCGAGCACTGCCGACTTCCGAGTTAGGATATATCGTGATCTCTTAGTATTAGTAAGTTTGCGTATTGACTCTCTTGTTGCGCGAACTGTCCGAAAATCTCGCCGTTGGCTTAATTCTATACGCACGCTACCTAATACCTGTGTCGGACAGATTCGTAATTCATAGGTGTCTCGTTTAGCTACTACACATATACCGTAATTGCTCTAGAGTCTAACTATAGTAACGGCATGTATTATTTGATCGCGATGTTTTATATCATAACGCCCTGGTCGTCAAGATAAAGTTTCTCCATTCTCTGGCTCCTAAATCATTTGTCCAATGAGAGTGGAGGAGTTGGCTATTTACGGAAATGATAGCCGACAGCCCTACAGGTAACATCGCAATGCAGCGGCATGTAGATATAGAAAGAAGTTTAAGATACGTCGTATGAAATCCTTATCAATTAATTTAGGTCTAATTTTGTACTTATATAATAAAATTGCAGATTGCCTTCGCCACTCCGTGCCAGTGCATCTTAAGACCTTACCTTGGTGGTTATTTTGGAGGAGCTGAAAAATGACTAAAAAATTACGAACATACGTCGATTATTCTTGAATAGGAAATAGTCCTAGTAATATAGATAGTATATAAGCGTTGTGGCATGCTTGGCATTGCTAGAACTAGTTTAGCACCACGGTGCTCAGCCATTGGGAGCACCAGCCGGATCGCCATTCCGCCTCATACCGAGTAAGTCAGCCTTGGGGATAAATACTCAAAAGAAAAAAACAACGTGCTTCATCGGGCCGTCTCCGCATGCAACGCTAGAAATACACCTGATTCACCAACCTTTCAGCTGGTTGCACGTGAGCATTCGAACTGTGCCGTAGTGGTATAAGTCCCCGCCTCAATCATTCTTTAGGGGAAGCCTCTAATGGGATTAGATAGGAATTACGGGAAATGACATGCCTAAGAATTGTGATTAGAGAGGTGTTATGTGACGTCAATGGAGGCTAATACGAAAAGTCATCATAGTACCAATTAAGGAAATCTATCACTTAGTAAGACTTCGAGACGCCAGGAAGTTTACCATCGACCTCGCCGCCCATACAACCACGAGTTCAATCCTGCCATTATGAGTTACATAGCCATAGATCGATCATACCCTAACTACGGGCTGATAATAAGTATATAAAGAGAGAGATGGAACCCAAAGCCTAGTATCTATATCGAAGAGACCATCACCAACCTCATCTAGCTCACCTCGATCAAAGTTCTTTGGCATCACATTCTCCATCCCTTTCTCCAACTCAAAACAGTTTAAAAACAACATCATATCTACAAACATGGTTGTGATCCTAGCAGCGGTTTCAGTCGCCATCAAAGGCCAAGGAGGTAGTTCATCTGGCTCTTCAACTGTCAAGAGCGAGACTTCCCCAGCTCCGGCACCAACGCCACCACCAACAACCTCGTCGTAAGTCGACCCCCTGATTCTGTAGAAAGTAGTAGGTTATGCTAATAATTCCATATTAGTCAACACTGGGACAGTCTACAGGACGATTGGTCCAATTGTTGATCTACCAGATGCGGCGACTGGCTAATGATTTCTCTTCGTAAGTCTAACAAGTCATAGAGAGTTTGAAATCTTTAAATTTGCTAATGAATCCTTATCTAGGAGACTGTCAAATCCGGTCGACAACTATAGTTAGCCGGTCCAGGATGTGAAAATGACCTGGACTTGAAAAATCAAGCTGGCAATGCGTGTGGCAACACTGTACGAACTATGGGAAGGAGAGCATGGTTAAGAGGACAATGTATAACAGAAATGTATAACAATAGACTTAGATGGAGAGTTTTGGCTAAAGGGGAGGGGAAACATACCCAGGGTTCACATGGTATGTTAAGAGGCTTGCTTTCTTTTCTTTTGTTGGTTAGGCGGTATTAAAGGACATAGACTCACACTCGTTTGTTCATTCATTCATCACATAAATATAGCTAGATTCTTCACCTCGCCAGTATTACACTAGACGCAGTGATAGAAATAGATCGTACTCTCAAGGTAACAAGAATACTGGGAGGAACACAACGTAGTCTATTAGTCTAATTAACTCCTTGAATACCTAGGCATTCCTGTCACGGTCCCAACCGTGAGCCTATAAGTAGCTGCATACAGTCAAGGTTTCCCAACCTTGACAACGTTCTACTTTTGTATTCTGCATGGGTGGTGTTGTGGTATAGCGTTGCAGTTCTGTTCCGTGACAATTCCGTAAGATATCCCATCACAAAGCCGCTCCTAGGAAGTGCTCTAATCATGACTCATGAAGATTATTTCCCTCTGTGGTACGCCTGCTGAATGATCGCTCTATCACGCCAGCGATGATTTTTGAAACAAGTCGAGGTCAAACCCGCCATCTTCAAGTTCATCATCACTCAAGTCAGTCACGAATGTTCGTGCGTTCTTGAGAATCTGCACCCCGTTTCCATCAGCGGCGGGGATGGAGATATCGCAATAAGCCATGCGGTACGCGGCCGACTCGTAAGTGCAGAGTCTCGGTACGTACTCAGGTTTGTCACACAACCACGCCGCGCCCTGGACCAGTCCCTCTTCGCCGTCGGCGGCGGTTGCGGGCACGAGCGCCGGGTACGGTCCCCACATCTTGATTTTCCAGCCTTTGATGCTTGCGTTCGTGAGAAGGGGAAGGGGGTTTGTGGCCTCGTCATTCCACATTCGAATAACTCTGCGCAACACGTTGGGGACTTGCAACGATCCGTAGAAGAAGAAGTAGAAGGGCTCGAAGGTGACCACGGGAGTCTCGCTGCCCTCGTTTGATTCGTTTCGAGGGTTACTGGTTTCGTTTTTGCCATTCTCGTGGTTGGTAGCATCAACAGCGCCTCCTTCACTCACACCCTGGGTTGTAACCGGAGCTGTGATGTTGCTAGAAACATGTTGGGAAGTGATGTCGATCTCTTCGTTGTCAAGGGCGTCGTTGGCGAGCATGTAGAGTGTATCATTTGTGGCTGTGGTGGATAGGCCACGGATGGCGAGGATAGACGCGTTTATCGCATTAGCTTCCGCGATGGGTGTGGACATTGGATCCTGCGCT